GGGTGACAAAGTGAGAGTCTATCTCAAAATAAATAAATAAGGATACCAAATAGCCCTTATCTTTTGTCTTAGTAATTTTTGTGTTAAGAAAGAACCTCAGATTTCCACTAGAGTTAACAGTTGAATCTTGGGTGGAAGATAGACTGGATGACTGGACTATTTCATTTTTGTCTGTATATTTGAAAAATTTTGTAAGGAAAAGCTGAAAAAGACTTTAATTGAAGATGACAGTGAAATGCTTTTATGAATTGCTTATATTTATTGACATCTGAGTGTCTTCTAGGTGTATAATACTGCTAGATCTTGTGATGAACAGAGGTGCATGACATTGTTCCTGTGTTCAAGAAGATTATAATAGGCCTGGAATCCCAGTACTCTGGGAGGCCGAGGCGGGTGGAGTGCCTGAGCTCAGGAGTTGGAGACCAGCCTGAGCAAGAGTGAGACCCCATCTCTACTAAAAATAGAAAAACTAGCCAGGCATAGGGCACGTGCCTATAGTCCCAGCTACTTGGAAGGCTAAAGCAAGATCACTCAAGCCCAGGAGTTTGAGGTTGCTGTGAGCTATGCACCACAGCACTCTACCCAGGGTGACAGAGTGAGACTGTCTCCAGAAAAAAAAAGAAAAAAGAAAAGAAAAGAAGATTATTATATATATAAGGTGACATGTGTGTTAACAGAGTGAGTGGTATAGCATAGTAGTAAAAGAAAAACATAAATTAGGAATTAGACGAAGGTATATTCTGATGAAATGTTTTGGAGTATAAAAGAAGAGTTTTATAAAGTTGGTATGACCCCTGATTGGTTAACAACACAACCTTGTTAACGATGGTTGTAATGAACTTAAAGAGAAAATATGAAGATAGTCCCTGACCTATGTAAAGAATCTGTTACCTCTGACTTAATAAATGACTATGAGGAATTTGGTGGTGTTTCTTTTTCATATTACATTAACAACAGTTTTCCTTCTTGAGAGAGTGAAACTTTTAAGAGCTCAAGAGCCTTTTCATGTGATTTTTTTAAACTTAACCCATCTTGAAAAATAAACACTTTTAAATTAGATACATTTATAAAATGTGTTATAGCAGAACACTTACTAAAATAAGATTGTGCACATGAATGGTGAGGAACTTGGAACTTCTAGGTCATTTGTTTTTAGTTCAAATTAATATTCCATGAAACTCTTACCTGCTGGTTGTCCTGTGTCTCAGAATGACCAAAGAAGCTAAGATTATGTGTTTATATATAAGTGCTATTTAAAACTGTCACTCAAATGATTTCTTTCTTGAGGGTATGTAACACAATGCTTAGTACATAATAACTATGTGACTGTTATGTATTGTTATTTTTGGAAATAGGAAATTGACTTGGGAACCTCTTTATTTGTAAGCTTCTCTAGTAGACTGTGGCCAGAAACTTTTGCTATAGAGTGTGCATAACATCATCATTTATTCTTGTTCCTGTTATGAATCTCATATGAAAAATAACACTGAGCAAGGATCGACCTCAAGGACTACATAAATAACAAGTGGCAGAGTGAAATTGCAGCTTAGGTTTGTGAGAGTTTAGAACCTGGGCGTCCAACCACATTCTTACATGCCGCATGCATGTTTCTGTGTGATGGAGGAGTGGTATTAGGTTTCTGTCACATCACTGTGTTTGGCGGGGTGTTGAGTTTCTACCTTTATATTTCTTTTTTTTTTTTTTTTTTT